ACCATTACCACTGTGCTCAGTCTGACTCGGTGGACTGTTACGGTGAATAGATGTGTCCTATTCTGTGCTGGGGCCAAGCATGGAATGAATTACACAGAGTAGAGAGTACTCCTTCTCCATGGCTAATATGAGCCCCACTTAGGAGTGTCATCCTTGTCCCCGTTCCATCAGACCAGGGTCCACTTTGGCACACAGCCTTTGTGCTATCACACACTAATTATGGATATTAGCTAAATCTATTACAGATGTATCCTTGTTCATAATAGTCTTAATGAGTCGTTGGCAATAAGGAAAGTCTATTGAAATGTGTGTGAGAGAATCCAAGCTTTGGAACATTTGTCTTTTGCTAAGGAAAGCCTGAGGATGGGATAGTAAAGAGGCATGGCGGCAATCCTCCATGCCGTCTGAGAGGCCAGTGAACTGTTTCATGGTTGGCTGTAGGATTAGAACGAGGAGGCCACCTGACCTTTTGCCATTCTCCAGCTTCTGAAAAGGGCTCCAAGTTTAATGAAAACAACTAAATGAATATACAGTACATAACGGTATATAACAAAAATCAATACAGCACACAATGATTCTACAACTGATACCGGCTGAAACCAATTTATGAAGCGATAGAAAAGACCTGGAGGATAGAGCTCCACGCAGGAAGCTTTGTACTTCCTCCATGCACCTCCAGAGTAAGAACACAGCAGGGTTGGGCCGGGCATCCGGGAAGATGCTGACCGCTATAGCCTGGGAGCAGCTTTGAATATCACGAGTGACAGAGACTTATTCTGCCTTACGGCTGCAACAGATGCCTCTTTCGGCTGCGCTCGATCAATATCGCAGAACGTCTAATCAGCCGGGTTGAAGGCCCGGCCACTCTTTTTGTGTGAAGTATCAAGAAAGGCAGAGCTGTTTATTTCTCTTGTGGCTCACATGTGCAACTGTGTAATGAGAAGTGCCGCATAAGATGAAGCTGCCGGACTTGACGAGGTGACGCGCTGCCAAACAAAACAATTGGATTATGAGCTTAAAAGAGGGAAGGCACAGAAATGGTGGGCCAAGAATAGTGACATTTGCAGGAGCAGGAAATCTCCGTCTTCATTTGGAGAGTGTTTACTGTCTTTTCTTTTCCCATAAGCGTCTGCTACATATTCATACATGACTCGCATACAGTAACTATAAGCTTTACACACGAAGGATTCACTTAATCTTTTAGTTGTATGTATGGGTGTTTGTGTGAGGATGAGTGGAAATCCATATTTATGTTCATTTGCATTTATACTGTATTTGTCTCATTTACACTCTTCTACAATGGCCCAGTGCTCCCAGACTGACATATCTAGTGGGAGTAAACTGTAGTCAAATATTCGGATGTTAAAATATTCTCTCTGTCCTTGCTGTTTTCTGTGCATGTGTCCATATGGATTACACCCCTCTCTTGTCACTTCCACCATATGTTCTCTCTCTTGCACATTGTTGGCAGAATCACACACTGGAGTAATTCCAGATTTGTATCAAGTAGACTGTTTTTGAGTCATCTCTCTCTCTGTCTCTGTCTCTCTGTCTCTGTCTCTCTCTCTCTCTCTGTCTCTCTGTCTCTGTCTCTGTCTCTCTCTCTCTGTCTCTGTCTCTGTCTCTCTCTCTCTGTCTGTGTCTCTGTCTCTGTCTCTCTCTCTGGCTCAGTCTCTTCTCACTACTATTCAGTGTCATCTCTCTCTCTCTCTCTCTTATACATTGAAGGTGAAGCATTAAGTCCTATTCCTTGTTCGCACCGTAAAGTCATCTTATTACCACAGCACCGTAAATGCACACAAGATACAGGCGTCTTTGTGTGTGTGTGCGCGTGTGTGCAGAAATGGTGTCTCAATAATTTAAATCTTTTGACCGTCTCTTGTGGGAAACAGTCCTCCGACTAGCACTGCCCCATTGTGCATCACTTAGTAGGACTCAGCAAGAACAGTCCACGTTGTTTGTGAACTCTGAGTGTATTTCTATGAGGAGGAGTGTGTGCCGGACCAAGAGGTCAGAACTCAAGATTTCTTGGTAAAAACAAAAAACGGCCAGTTTCTTAAAATGAATGCTGTGTCAAAAGCAGCCCATGAATTGAATAAGTCCCTCTTCCCTTGACATTCTGCACATAGGTATAGAAATACATTTCTGTATTTTGATCACTGAGCCACACAAAAAGTAAGACTGTGAACAAGAATGATTGTTTGGAATGGAAAGTTGAAATTGGCAATTTTCATGGGGCTAAATCACTCAGAAGGGGGTTATGTGTCACAAAGAGGATTTATGGCTCATTTCTTCTTCTAAGTAAATCAGTGTTTTGGCCACTCTATCTCTGTCCTCCTCCTGGAGCTGTGATCTGCACTCTGTTAGCTTGTGGGTGTGTTTTATGTATCAGGAATAAGCAGGCGTCGGGATGATCCCTGCTGTTTCCTCAGGAGTCTGGCCTGTGCTCGGCGATTAAATGATTGGGATAATGATCTCAAAGTGAAAATGTAATTTGCTCAATCATTTTTTAACACACAGAGGAACTACACTGCTTTCTGGAGTGTTTCGCCAATAGTGATAGTTTAAAGGCAAATTGCATTTGAAGACTTACATTAACGGAAATGGTTGTTCTTTAAGGCAGAGCATGTTTTGGACACATTGGCCAGCACAAGTACGAATGGTCTTCCCTGGTATAGTTACTTACATATGTGTTCTTTGTAACAGCTAATGCAAGCTTAACATTTCCTGCCGCTGCTTCACATCACAAGCTTTCCACCAGGAACTCCTGCCAAGCTTTTATTGAGAAGCAGCAACAGAAAACTCATTTTATTTGTCATGAAGATAGAGCGGTGCTTTGTTATAGCTGCACTATTGCTCAGTAAAAAAAAATTGGTTTTCCAACAAGATGTGGACATATTCTGCACTGCTGTGTCAGTGAGTTGAGTTTGAATATTGCAAAAAGGCGAACGTGACCGGAGGAGAAAGCCGCTGGCATGTGAGCTGCAGGCTTTTACTGTGCAAACCAACACATCTCCACCACGTCGTGAAGGTAAACAATAACTTGTTCTGTACCAGGCTGTCCTTTTTAGTATATGTAATAATAATATGGATGTTCATTTCCCCATCCCATGAATGAAGGTCTATCTTATCTCATCTTATTTGCTGAGCAGCACAAGATGTAATCGGGCTTGCTCGTAGCACCGCGCATGTATCTCAGCGAGATGAAAAAAAAAAAATGTCATTAAGGAAATAGGACTTAGCAGCTTTCCCTCCCGCATGCTCCCTCTCACTGCAGTTAGGCTTCACATATCTGCAAATGAGGTAGAGGAGAGGAGAGCAGTGGAGGGTAAAAAAAAGCAGCAGCATGGGGGGGGGGGGGGGGGGGGGGGGGTGAGTAGAGCATGTCTTCAATGTAAAGGAGCATTGAACAGTAGGTGTGGAAAGTAGCTGGTCTTGGTGTCGTAGAGTGGCCAAACTTCCTCAGAGGTCACAAAAGAAGCTGAGAGTCTATTTGTGTGTGTGTGTGTGTGTGTGTGTGTGTGTGTGTGAAGGCAGCTGACTGTGAATGTAATTGACCATGGTAATGGACATTACATGGCACAACTAAAGATAGCAGGGCGAGGATCCTGCCATCTAGAGTTATGGTGAGTGAGGCCTTTTTGCAAGAAAAACATGAATGTTGGTGCTAGTTAGAATTTTCTCTTTATACTGCCGTGGTAGTGGTATGGGTGAATAAAAAAAAAAAGTTGTTTCTACAGCCCCTTTCACACTGGTCAAATAACAGCTAACATCTTAGGCTTTTGTATTTAGTGGGAATGGTTACAGTTGGCAAAGTAGGACAAATTACTCTGCTGTAGTCACAAGTATTAATTGCTGTGTGACACACGTTGTAAATAAAATCAACAGGGTTGTGAAACAATTACTATAATTCATTAATGTACAAAACATATATACAGTAATTACTATGCTCTCCTCACAGCCACCAGACTCTATTCAGACAACAGAAACAAAATAAAACTCATCAAAACCATCTTTTAGTCTTTCCACTGTTCCAACCATCACAAAATCTGGTTTGGGAATTTGATAGAGTGACTGAATAAACAACAGAAGTAAAAGATAGAGGTACGCAGTAACATTTTCACTGCTTCTGGTGCATCCATGCTGTTGAACGTGACCCACAAGAAAACAAAAAAACAGAAAGGCTTACCCGTCTACTGCCAGTAGGAAATGAGTCTATTGCGTGTTTTCCCGTGTTTAAAAAAAATCTGCATATACAGTCTAATTTTAGTGGAAAAGGGTAGAAGGTATGCAAATTAGTGCCCGTGTGTGTGTGAGTGTGTGTGTGTGTGTGTGTGTGTGTGTATGCAATCATTTTTTCCGTGTACTAAAGCCCCTGTGTGGATCTTATGAGTGTCATGATGCAGTGCTTGGAGCTAGAGAGCTGTGCAAGTAATGGCCTCGCTCGGGCTAGATAATTAGTCAAATGCTGATTTCTACTCGACTCCCATAGGAACAGTGCCACCAAGGCTAAATATCACCCACTGAAGTGGTGCTTATCTCTCTGTGTGGGCTGGGGAAATAGCAGTACCATATAGCCTCTGTGTGTGTGTGTGTGTGTGTGTGTGTGTGTGTGTGTGTGTGTGTGT